AACAGGCGTGACACACAGGTGATGATGCAGCTGTGCCACACGTCTTATTTAATTGACGTTGCTTAGAAATGATGGCTCCAAAGCACATCCATCCATCCACTTCTCCGGGCCAGGTTGCAGGGGCAGCAGGCCAAGCAAAGCACACCAGACATCCCTCTCCCCAACAATGCTTTCCATCTCCTCCTGGGGGACCCCAAGGCTTTCCAGATGAGATATTTAATCCTTCCAGTGTGTTCTGGGTCTGCCCCGCGGCCTCCTACCAGTGGGACGTGCCTGGAACACCTCTAACAGGAGGCACCCAGGAGGCATCCTGATCAGATGCCCGAACCACCCCAACTGACCCCTTTTGATGCAAAGAAGCAGTGGCTCTACTCCGAGCTCCCTCTGGATGTCGGAGCTCTTCACCCTATCTCTAAGGCTGAGCCCAGCCACACCACGGAGGAAACTCATTTCGGCCGCTTATATCCAAGATCTCATTCCTTTGGTCACTACCCAGAGCTCATGACCATAGATGAGGGTTGGGACGTAGATGGACCAGTAAATCGAAAGCTTCGCCTTCCGACTTAGCTCCTTCTTCACCACCACCACAGTCCGGCACATCGCCTGCATTACTGCAGAGGCCGCAATAAACCGCCAATCCATCTCACGCTCCATTCTACCCTCACCGGTGAACAAGGCCCCAAAATACTTGAACTCCCTTGCTTGAGGCAGTTGCTCCTAAGCACTCTTTCTCCCCTCTTCCGCTCGCATCTTAGGTGGGAGGGACTAAGAGGGACAGGAATCAAGGATGTACAAACTTAGAAATGAGAAGATGAAGATGGCATTGTACAGTATACCTGGTTTGCATCAGCATGTTAGTATTGTCATGTTAGCTCGCTGGTGTTAGCTACCTTGTTAAAGCTCAGCCTCACAGCGCCACTAGCATGGTTGAAGATTCCTCTTGTTATACATTTTAACAAATCCCCATGAGTAAATTTGATGGTGGTGTCGGCCTATTTGTACATACTATAACTCAACTTATGAATAATTTGTGATGTTTTTAAAAATGTATCTTGATAAAACAGTGTTACACTTTAATATTGGACAGCTTTACTGTGTGGGTGAGGCTCTAAAGTAATCAAATTTTTAAAATTCCTACATTAACTTTTAATTTCCAACATTATATATTTCTAATTAAAGGGGAAAAATACAATCCCCTGATAGGATGCCTTTAAAGTCCAAGGGAATAAAAATGTATCCTCTAAAGCTAATTCTCTCTTTGACTAGTTACTGTGGGTAATTGGTGCCTTATGTCAGATTTATGGTAACAACTGACCTCATCCACAATATTTTCGGCTTAAGCCTAGATTGACTTCCCTGTTGCACTTCTTGTCATACTACACCCACAGCTACTCTGGAGCAGATATCCATATAGTAACAATGGCGGGGCTATTGTACCCACTAGAATGCACTTTACAATATCCTCATTCATTGCATGAGGACTTTATTTACAGAGCCCCCTGGGTAACGCAATGCCATGCTCTGATCACACACCAGCCCACTGCATGTAATTATCCTCAGCCTGCTCTCCAATCTGTCACTGCCCAAACTCATTTGTAAGAGTGCATGTACAGTGATTAAAGAAACTTCTGTGCCATTGCAAAAGAAGGGGGGGCTTCTATCACTCCCCTCCTCCTCCACATTTGGGGAATTCTCCAAGAACGAGGCGAAGCTGCCATGTCAGAGCGAGCCAGGCAGACGTGTACAGATCGCCAACATTGCTAATGCATCTGCGGCACTGGTGCAGCAGTCAAGTCATAATAATTAAAGACATACAACATCTCAGGACTTCATTAATCATGGTTTATATGGACTTTGAAGCCCTAATGAAAAACAGCCTGCCTCTCTGGGTTTATTGTGTCTGTACAAATTGTGGGGATGGCGTACGCCAGGAATGCCCCCCTCCTGACCGGCTGTTTCAGGATGTGGTGATGGAAAACAAAAAGATAAGATTTGGTGAAAAGCTAGCGATGGTTACAGAAAGGTCAGTGGTCAAGGCTGTTTACATAGACGCTGAGGGCCATTCAATCAGACAAAAGTGAGCCGCTGACAGTGAGGGCAATGTGAGTTTGCACGTCCTTGTGTTTGCACATTTGTCCTTGTGTGTGTGCACTCAATGTTTTCTGTCCTTGGCTGAGGGAAATGAAGGCCCGCGGTGCTCTGGAGATTCATCTTGCACTGTCATGTATCATCATCTTTGATTTGCTATTAGTTTCTCAGATTCTCACCATGCTCTCCAGCCCTTCTGGAGGTGCATTACAGTGAGATCAGAGTGAGAGATTACGGGGTATTAAGCTCTCAGTGCCAGAAGTGGAAATTACAGAGAGTTTGTCAACGCCAGAGTTCTCTCTGCTTGTTTTCTCCTAGAGAGAGGGAGGTAATGCTTTACTCACCACGTTTCATCCCAATGGCTTGTGACTGGTCCCTGGCAGCGCTATCAGTGGTGAGTCACAGCCAAAAGTCTGTGTAGCTCAAACGAAAGCAAAGGAAGACAGAGAGGGAGAGACTGCTTAGGACTGCAGCCCAGGACACATGCATCTTCTCCCAATAAAAGTCCCTTTGGCAGGTTTACATCGCATTAGTCCTCTGAACCCAAGGAAATATACAGTGGAGGGGAGAGAGGGGAGCATCCATCATCTGAAATGCAAAGGATGAAGTCATTTTATTTTCCCCCTAATGATGTGTCCTGCCTACAGGTGTAATGGTGCAATATCCTTTTGGTTCCAAAGGTAAGCTATCACCATCATTCTGGGATTCTATTAATCTACTCTATGTTAGCGATGTATTTACTCTCATATAGAGCAAATGGCCATGTCTACTCGAAATACACAGAGAGAGTTGAATAGATAAGAGTCAAATAGTCTGTCCACTGCAGCTCCACAGTTAAACTAAATTCTGTGTGGTAACTACCTGGCAGTGATTCATTTCCTCTCCAACGCAAGTTCCTCACTTAAATTTGTCATTTTATGGAGTGCGTCTGACAGAGCACAACTGACAGATGAAAGTTAAAGTGGCCCCTCGGAGTAAACAAGTCAAAAACTTCTGAGTTTGGCTGAATTAAAGGAAGAAAGGAAGGGGGGAGAAAGAGGCTGCGTTTATTTGGGAGCCAACGAGCATGGTGCTCTCTGGACCCTGCGGTTTGTCAGCGTTCCTCCCAGGTGAGCTCACACTGGGCCAGTCGAGCACGGCCACCCCCCCAACAAACCTTCCCCCCCTTGCCCTGGCCAAGAAGAAACGGCGTCCTCAGCTCTCCAGCTTGACTCACACAATATTTTGCTGGTAGTCAAAACAAAATTAGCACGGGTTTGTTATTTCTAGTTAGCTCATCCATGACTCCTGTGTTCATCATGTCAGAGGAAAGGGAAATGTTTAGTTGCCACCTTTGAGGTTCTAAAGATTAGAATGAGAAAGATCAGAGTAGTAGCTGATATTTGTAGTTTGAGGTCAGTGCAGTGATGGTGGTAAAACTGTATTTAATCCTGTGCTGATGAGCATCTGTTCTGCTGGATTGTTGTTGAGCAAAGAGCTTTAATCTTTTCCAGGTCTTGTTACACTGACACACTTTATCTGTAGGGATCAATTAAGAAGGCAGAAAGAGAATGAGATTGAGGTTAGAGTTAAAAGCAATTAACGTGCATCCGTCATCAAACAAAGGACTTAATAATCAAGGAATCACATAAATCATAAGATAAGTAAGATTATTTCTAACTGGACACTGGAAATACCAAAGGAAAAACATGAGAGTGAGCTGAAAAGTCTTAGTCTTAGACAATAATGCCACCTTGTGTTTAAAATGTGTGCTACAGGCTTAAAGAAAATAACTGGACTATAAGTGAATACTCGACTGTACACTCACCACGAATTTATAAGGTACACCTGTTCAACTCCTCATTAACACAAATAACTAATCAGCCAATCACGCTTCAGCAACAATCCATTTAGGCATGTGGACATGGTCAAGATGACCTGCTGAAGTTCAAACCGAGCATCAGAAGGGGGAAGAAAGGGGATTTAAGTGTCTATGAACGTGGCATGGTTGTTGGTGCCAGACGGGCTGGTCTGGTCTGAGTATTTCAGAAACTGCTGATCTACTGGGATTTTCACACACAACCATCTCTAGGGTTTACAGAGGATGGTCCCAAAAAGAGACAATATCCAGTGAGCTGCAGTTCTCTGGGTGAAAATGCCTTGTTGATGCCAGAGGTCAGAGGAGAATGGCCAGACTGGTTCAAGATGATAGAGAGGCAACAGTAACTCAAATAACCACTGGTTACAACCAAGGTCTGCAGAAGACCATCTCTGAACCAACAACACGTCCAACCTTGAAGCAGATGGGCTACAGCAGCAGAAGACCACACCAGGTGCCACTCCTGTCAGCTAACAACAGGAAACTGAGGCTACAGTTCACACAGGCTCACCAAAACTGGACAATAGAAGATTGGAAAAACGTTGCCTGGTCTGATCAGTCTGGATTTCTGCTGCCACATTCAGACGGTAGGGTCAGAATTTGGTGTAAACAACATGAAAGCATGGATCCATCCTGCCTTGTATCACCGATTCAGGCTGCTGGTGGTGGTGTAATGGTGTGGGGGATATTTTCTTAGCACACTTTGGGCCCCTTAGTACCAACTGAGCATGGTTTAAACACCACAGCCTACCTGAGTATTGTTGCTGACCGTGTCCATCCCTTTATGACCACAGTGTACCCATCTTCTGATGGCTACTTCCAGCAGGATAACGCACCATGTCACAAGCAACTTGTTGAATCTATGCCATGAAGAAATAAGGCAGTTCTGATGGCAAAAGGGGTCCAACCTGGTACTAGCAAGGTGTACCTAATAAAGTGGCCAGTGAGTGTATGTTGCAATTCTGACAACATCAAGGTGTGCAAAAGAAACAAGATATGACAAGAATAAATATGTTTATGTTTATTTAAACAAGAATAAATAATTTATATAGTCTACTATATTACACTTAATTGCTTTGTTAGTTATTTGTATCAGTAATAAAAAAGCAAACTTTCCTCAGAATATGGTCAATAACTAATAGCAGCGTTAGTTTATGATGAATAGCGAGCACAATATCAAGATGACATCTGTCTTTTCCTTGTCAAAATGTTCAGTAGTTTCAGATTCCTCGTTTTTTTCTTAGCTTGGAATTACATCATCAAGGCTGTAAAAAGTTCCTCATTCTCCTTGTGGTCTGTGTTTCCTTCCCCAGACCGTCCACCTCGTCTGACACACGTTGCTGCTTCTCTCTAGGATGCAGCAGGAGGTAGTAAAGCACAAGACACACCAGCCCCAGCACTGAACCGCCAACGATCAAACCACAGACCGACAGCAAATACACAGCTGTCTGTAACTCTGGTTTCAACAAAGCCAGCAGCGACGGAGCTAAAATGTTTATGCCAACATAGAAAATGTAGTAGATAGTCATGGCTACTTTGGTGTCCTGTCCTTTGACGTTGAAAAAGGTAAAGGTGAGGATGAATCCGACGACTGCTCGGTAAAGAAACTCAAGCCCTCTTGATAAGCAGAAGTCAGTTTGAAGTACATTTGCCCAGGTTGTGCCCAGCAGCCAGAGGACAGTGAGGGCTATCGTGCTGAAGGGGCTCAGTATGAGGAGGAGGGTGTAGCTGAGGATGTGGCTGGTGATGGTGCAGAGTTTGTAGAGGAGGTAGACGACTGTGGGGAGGCCAGAGGGCATCTCGGTTATTTGGGGGTGGGCTCTGCGCATGCAGCGGCGGTAGTCCACCAGGGACCAGGCGATGTTAAAGAAGGAGAACGCCAGAGATAAATCTGCAAGAAACAGACAGATGTTACAGTATAAATAACAGTACAGTAAGTTCATAAATATGTCACTTTCTGCCTTTACTTACACTGCAGGACTGAGTATCGCTCATTCTGACCCAGCAATATGTAAAGCTGAAGAAGCAGTTGGGGAACACTCTCCAGGAAAGCCTCAAACAGTTTGAGCATGCTCAGATCTGTCGCCAAGCCAAACAGATCGTAGTGCACATCTGTCTTCTCTTCCACTGTGTATGATTTTGTCGTCATCCAAACCACTTTAAAGCTTTTGTTCAGGAGGTGATAATACCTAGCAACGAGCCAAGCACAATGAAAACAAAGTCAGACATGTTGTTGCCACCATACAGCACATTTGTCAGTGTTGTATCTCTTGCTGCTGAACAGACGATGATGCAAATCCACCACAGCTTAAATGTGGATATTCCAGTTTGCACATTCCATAATTCCGTGCTACTGTGAGTAACTAGCGTTCCGCACATTATGAGTCAGTGCATGCAGGCACTCCTTATTACCGGCTACAGGCGCAGTTATTTTGCAGCTCATGCATTGCTCTTACCTGGTGAAGATACCCATGCCAAATACGTGCAGGACAGCAAGTCCACCTGTTGACATGCCTGGTATAGTTGATATGCTCGGTTCTCCCACAGTGTCCGCCTGAAATTCATTCATGTCATCCCTGTACCAGGCATAACTGAAGATCTGCGTCACCAGCAGCCCCACCAGAACAAACACCAGAGTCAGTGCGGTCCACACAAAATTCTTCTCTAGAAAATATTTCAGTGCCAGTCCCACGTCTGTGCAAATGTCCACCACATACAAGACCAGTCCAACAATGGTTAACAGCCATCGCAGTTTAGTGTATTGAATGTCCGGCTGAGGCATTTTGCGACGAAGCATCTGAAGAAAAGCTGCTGTGGACTGTTTTATGCTGGTCGTCAGCAGCCCAGGTGATATTTCTACTCATCTGTGAAAAGATTACATGTGAGAAAACTCGTGAGTATCATGAGAAGGACGGCGTTCTAATGTGTGCAGGTTGACCACAAATCTGTTCTTGTGACAGTTTTGTAATGCATCATGACCGGAGTCAGCTGCTGAGTCACCTATGTCTCCTGCACTTTGACCTCTGTCATAAACACTTTTATTATAGGGAGTCCTGATAAATGACACACTTAGAAATGTAAAAACAATCAATGACGTTATCAGTAGGAATGATAAAATGATAAATGATACCAAGTCCGGACTCTTATATAAGATTTACTGCGATGTATTTTTCATACACCTCTCACAGAATGTCATTTTAAGCCAAATTATCCTCACATATTCTGTTTTACAGAATAAATCTAACAATTGTATCACTTTAAACTGTAATGAGATACAACTGGTGATAAAGAAAATTCCCACAAGGTTAATTTAAGGGCAAACAAATTCAAGATAGCACATGATAAAAAATTACATATCATCATGACATCATATGATCATATCCTCTTCAATAAAATAAAGTCATAGTTGTGGTTATTACTTCTATAAAGATTCTTCCGTAAATTATTCCAAACTCACACACAAATCCCAATCTGACCACCTCCTGTCTTAGAATACACAGTTATAGGTGCATATCATCAGCAGTTCCACTTACCAGTATATTTTCCCATGGTAGACCGCAGTGAACGGTCACAGAGGCAAACACTTCGGCATGCAGCAGTTCTCTTTCTGTTTCCTTCCAACTCATGACAAGCTCCACCTCAGTGACAACACTCTGAACTAATATAGTTAAGCCGGAAAGATGAAATGACATAATACAGCTTGTGTCTGTGTGCATGTGGATGTGTGGGTGTGTATGTGTGAGTGTGTGTGGGCGACAGCCTCCACTTCCCTGTTAGACTGAAAGACATTTTTTGAATGACTGAAACACCAGCCAGTCAGTGATTAAATGCTGAGGAATCCCCTCACATATTCCTTGATTTTGCAAGGGAAGGGATAGAAAGGATGACGTAACACCTCAATGGGTTTCCTGTAATCTCAGCATTTACAGTAAGTGTGAGAATATCTTGATCAGAGACCAGGAACCTTGTAGGCTAATGCAAACATACAAATGTAACCTTAAACAACTCTAATGAATAATTGTTGTAGCTATATTGTGACACAGGCAACTGAATTTAAAGACAAACTATGTAACTTTTGATTGAAGACATAAGACATTCTTGTCTGATTAATAAACAATAAAATGCTCCCCTGCTCAGGTCAGTACTCTCAGGGGTTTTACTGCTGCAGCCTTATTTGGTCTGACATGAGCAGTAGCCTATGATGCCTGTTAGCTGATACACAAAGTTAAGGGAACACATAATCTTGACAGTGTAACACCAAGTCAGTTAAACTTCAGGGATATCAACCTGGTCATTTTTGAAGCACAAGTGATTGTGAATCAGTTTCAGTTTCTGCTTTGGTGGAAATGAAAGTCAATCAATCAATCAATTTTATTTATAAAGCCCAATATCACAAATCACAATTTGCCTCACAGGGCTTTTCAGCATACGACATCCCTCTGTCCTCATGACCCTCGCAGCGGATAAGGAAAAACTCCCCAAAAAAACCCCTTTAACGGGGAAAAAAAACGGTAGAAACCTCAGGAAGAGCAACTGAGGAGGGATCCCTCTTCCAGGACGGACAGACGTGCAATAGATGTCGTACAGAACAGATCAGCATAATAAATTAACAGTAATCCGCATGACACAATGAGACAGAGAGAGAGACGGAGAGAGAGACAGAGAGCGAGATGCAGGTAATAACAGTAGCTTACAACAACATTATTGAAAGTAATAATATTATAGTTATAGTTCTGGCTACTGTAGTACAATATGTTGAAAGTATGTATTAATATCTGGCAGTATACATGTGTGACAATAGTCATATGTGTATAATAACAGTAGAAGTATGACTAATGACTAATGATGGCAGCAGCAGCAGGAGGCATCTGGCAGGACCACGGCAGCAGCACAACCACACACGTCACGCTGTCCAGGCACCGCTGCGAAGTGACAACAGGTGCAATGGAGAGGCAAAAGCAAGACAACACCCCAAAAGGGAATGCTTACAGACAGTTGCTCTCTCCTTATCCTTCCTGAATGACTCTTCTCTAGTTCTGTGTTATGCCAGTGTCCGTGTCACTACTGGTAGCATGAGGCAGCACCTGCAGCCCAATCAGGTTGCAAAGGTAGTCCAGCTCCTCCAGTGATGGCACATCCATACGTGCAGTCCCAAGAAGGTCTCAAGAGCATGGAGGAGATACAAGTAAACTGGTCGTTACACGAGGAGAGCTGGACAGGGCCGTAGGAGGGCATCAACCCAGCAGCAGGACCGGTATCTGCTCCTTTGTGTGAGTAAGAACAGGAGGAGCACTGCCAGAGCCCTACAACATGACCTCCAGCAGGCTACTGGTGTGCATGTTTCTGACCAGACTGTCAGAAACAGACTCTATGAGGGTGGAATAAGGGGCCTGATGTCCTCTAGTGGGACCTGTGCTCACAGCCCTGCACCGTGCAGCTCGATTGGCATTCACCAGAGAACACCAGTATTGGCAGGTCCTCCATCAGCGCCCCGTTCTCTTCACAGATAAGAGCAGGTTCACACTGAGCACATGTGACAGGTGTGAAAGAATCTGGAGATGCTGTGGTGAACGTTATGCTGCCTGTAACATCATCCAGCATGACTGGTTCGGTGGTGGGTCTGTGATGGTCTAGGGAGGCATATCCTTGGAGCGTCGCACAGACCCTGGGCATTGCTAAAATGATGCTGAGGGAAGCCTATTGTAACTTGATACAGAAGGGGATGGCGGTAAGAAAGGGTCAACGGTTAGGTTTAGGCAACAAAACCACTTAGATAAGGTTAGGAAAAGACAGCAGATGGCGCTAAAAAAAACGGATTTGAGTGGCACAAAAGCAGCGTTAAGTAGGAGTTGGCAGTTAGATTAAGGCAACAAAACCACAGGGTTATGGTTAGGAAAAGATTAAGGATGTCATCTAAAAACACCCGCCTACGAATGCCACAAATGCAGCCAGAAAGGCAGCAGTGTGTCACTAAAAATCACCCAGTTTTGAGTGCCACAAAAGTGACCGTAAAGGTGTATCGCTAAATACACACAGCCTTTAAATTATGTCTGTTGCTCTGAGCATCTAATCATGACGTGGATGGGTTTACATTGGGGTTAGTTGGAAAGTCTGATGTGTCTCACACACACGCTATGCTGTTGGGCCAGTGTCCCCAGTGTCATTATGGTGACATTGTTAAAGTGAAGCCAGGAACACTGGGAGTGGGATCCAGGCTGCTAACCCTTGTTCCTCCCACTCTGTGTGCATGCTGCAAGTATTCTGAATTATTACAGCACCCATCAGAAGGCTGAAACACTACCTGCCCCTAGCTTGTGGTTTCTTCAGTTACTTTGTCGTACTCTGATTAAAGGAATAGTCGTCATTTCAGGAAATATGCTGACAGTAAAACTTCAGTTAAAAGCCTAGTCCCAAGTAAATGCCCAGTTTTACTGAACCCATGAGAAGACCCTGATTCATTCAGATTTACCAGCATGATGAAAAACCAAATGGTGACTCTCTTCCTCTGAATCTGTCATAAAGTCAGAACATGAGTCCATACCTCAATTACCTAGGATTCAAAAGAATCAAAAGTGTTTTTCATAAAAATTAATCCAAGTTATTGTGGTTAACTTTTCCAGACATTCTGAGGCAGAATAAAGCTTGGATCACTAACTCTAAAAAATGACTCTGGCATATATGTGGTTGTTACTTGACGCACTCCTCTCACCCGAACACCATTGCAGATGAAGCATACTCCCTTATGGCAACAACACTCCCCTATGGCAGTGCTCAGGAATGACCCAAGGAACATAACAAAGAGCTCAAGGCATCAACCTGGCCTCCAAATTCCCCAGTTCCCAATTCGACTGAGCATCTGTGGGATGTGCCAATACCCAAGACATACCGCCCATCCACAGTGGGGCCTTTACGGATTGGACATAGCTCTGACATGTCAAGGTATGGCCACAGGAAGTCTGGGGACGTCCCGCAGTGTCTGGCACCAGGGTCTTCATGGCAGATCCTTTGAGTCCTGTGGGTTGCAAGATGACCTGCCAGCATGTCCCAAGGATGCTCAATTGGCTTTGGATCTGGGGGATTTGGAGGCCAGGTCAAGGCCTTGAGCTCTCTTACTGTAATTCTCTTATTACTGTAATTCTCTTTTCACCTGTCTAAATAAAACTTCATTAGACCGCCTCCAGCTGGTCCAGAACGCTGCCGCCAGGCTTCTGTCCAGATCTCATAAGTTCACTCACATCACTCCAGTCCTGGCATCCCTGCACTGGCTCCCTGTTAATTTCAGGATCCAGCACAAGATTCTAACCATCACTTACAGAGCCCTCCATGGTCAAGCACCTGCATACTTGACGGATCTGGTGTCCTTTCACTGTCCTGTCAGGTCACTGCGGTCCGTTGAAGGCCACCTACTTACTGTCCCTCACACAAGATTAAAGATGAAAGGTGATAGAGCCTTTAAGGCTGTTGTACCGAAATGGTGGAATGCACTACCTCATGAGCTGAGAGCGACCTCTTCCGTGGACATTTTTAAAAAGCAGTTAAAAACACATCTGTTTAGGCATGCGTTCCATTAATTGTCCATTGTATCATCTCTGTATTTTGCTGCACTTTACTTTTTATTTGTTTTTGTGTATTTTGCATTGTTTCTGTTATTGTATTTTTTGTATTTTATCTTGTGAAGCACTTTGTGAGTCCTCTCTGTGAGAAGTGCTATATAAATAAATTTACTTACTTACTTACTCTCTGATTGGTGCATATGCTTTTCCTAACTTTGTTTGGATTCAAAAAAGGAAATTTGGGATAAGGGTTCCCCCTAATTGCACATACACATTCAGAACAAGTCATGTCAAATGGTTATAAGGGAAAAAAAACATCTTATAAACTAATGTTGAGACATAAATTATATGAAAATACCATGTTCAGAAGCAGAGAGATGCACTTCTTTCAACCCTGAATTTACCTTGATCCTTTAATATGTTATTTTGATGTCTCAAGAGATCACAAAAAACCTTGAATGATTACAATTGCAATTGTCCCTGGGTCGAACCACAGATTGATTGGACTCTATGGGCAAGAGGTATAGAACACTCTTACACTCCGAACCTCTAGTAAGCGATAGAGAGCCCCAGCTGTTTCTCTCCTGTGCGTAAAAGCGTCTCGTTGGTCAGGCTCTCTCTCCGTGGATCCTCCCACTAGCAGAAGAGTGACACGCCATTCAATTGCTGTCTGGCCCTTCGCTTGTAGGAAGCAAGAGGCAGCTTTGAGCGTCCTCACACACACACGGATAATAATACTATCTGATAGAAACACACCGCGTCCGCGCTGCGTAACGCAAAAGTTGGGCCTGAACCGTGTCGACATGGGGATCCGAAAAAAGACTAACAAGAACCCGCCGGTGCTGAGCCATGAGTTTGTCATCCAGAACCATGCAGATATTGTTTCCTGTGTTGCTATGGTGTTCCTTCTCGGGCTGATGTTTGAGGTAAGTCCCGTCCACATGTTGAATGGGGTTGGATTGCGGGTCATGCGGGGGATGCTCGCCCCGGCACAGTGGACGGAGATGCCGAGGACTCCCCATCTGTTCTCCTGCAAAGTGACATGGCTGATCTAGTCTTCACACTACTTCCTCTCGAGATCGAAAGTTT